CCGGAACAAACAGGATCAAGCAACGAAAAAAAAAACTCGATCATCACACAAGATGGAGTAACAGAAAACTCTATCTTCCAATAGGATTTAGTAATAGAAAACTCAATCACTAAACATGATCGAGTAACGAAAACTTGATCATCAATCAGGATCGAGAAATTTGATCATCAAAATCGGAGGCACTTGGAAGAGCCAACAAAAATCAGTGTCGGATCAACAAAGCACAGTTGGACCATAGATTCGAAGTTGAGAGCAATAATATCCAAAACAGATTAGAGAGTCAAAATATGACTCGGCAGAGAGACAGATCAGAGAGTCGAAACATGACTTGGTGGCTATTTTGCAGATAGTGCAGATCGGCCATTTTCAAAAGTGGATTTAGAGGCGGGTTTCAAATCTGGCTTACCAAGGGTCCGGCATCAAAAGGAAACATGATAGCAATGGTTTACCTGGGTTTCGATGCCAGATGAACAGGGAGGCACATTCAAATTGATGGCTTCACCGATCAGAGAAACTGAAAACAGAGGCTCGATGATTGAAAGACGAAATACCAAATTGTGACTCTGCATTTCATAGATGTGATCTAGACACTGGATTTGAGATCAAAACTCAGATCTGATTTTTTTCAAAAATAACCCAAATTGAGTGAGAAAGAAGAGTTCTGGACTTGATTTTTTTTTTTTTTATTGTGTCCCCGATGTGTCCGATAAACAGATAGAAGATGATGGGGGAGAAGATGCAAGGCTGAACAACGAGAAAGACTATGCTCTTATAGCAAGGATGATGCTCTCTTGCTAAGCAAAAAAAAGAAAAAGGCCTGGCTTTAGAAGAGAGACGATGGGAAAAACGAGGGAGCAAGTTTTAACTCGAAGTGCTTATTCCAAGCTCTTAAAAATTGACGTGGAAAAGATAAATAAAATAAAATAAACAAGAGCTCAACGATGGCGTGATTTTTATGAAAGAAACTTGGATGGGATGAACTAGGAATAAGAGCGAGATAAGAGAAAACATATTTTTATCAACAAGGCAAAGATGTAAAAAGAAACAAATCAAAACTAAAAGTTAGAGAGAGAGAAGAAGGAATACATGACCTGTAATTTTTTTTTTTTTTTTTTGCTCTTGGTCCGTTGCGTGAAAGCTCAAATATGAGAAACTATAGAAGTTTCTCCCCAGAAAGTATATTTGTAGAAATCGCAAGCAAGATCAACTGGATTTGACGAATCAAGACAATGTAGAGATCGATATCTACAGCCACAAGATGGTCGATCAAGGAAGAATGAACCACTCACAAACATGAACGTCTAGCAGACAAAAAACCTAGCTCTTATATCATGAGAAACCATATTTCTGTATATTTGAACCTTAAGCCCCCATGAAATATGTATTTTAGAGTTTATCGAAAATATGAATAAGAGTCCCAATTTATAGGATTACAAATGTGGACTGCTAAAGAAAGTAACATATGCAATGAATCACCTTTTTAATATGGATACACAGAAAAAAAAAAAAATATTGTGCCCAAAAATAAATGCACGTTTCTTGACTTGATATATATCCATCACTTCCATCCAAAACTTTCTCCTGTTTCAATTCTCGTTTAGATTATTGGTTCAATCAAGATTTGGATAAAAAATAAAAGAGTTTTCCAATAAGAGATGAACTGGTTCAATCAAGATTTGGATAAAAAATAAAAGAGTTTTCCAATAAGAGATGAACTGGTTCAATCAAGATTTGGATAAAAAATAAAAGAGTTTTCCAATAAGAGATGAACGGGAATTTTCTTGGCAAATTTAAGCAAAGAAATTGAATGAATGAGAGTTTAGATTGCAAATTAGGTATAGAGATTTTCAAAATTTTAGAATAAAAAAAGAACAACGTTGAAATTTTTTGGAGCCCACAATTAGTTGTTTTATATCCAGCCTTACATAAGACGTGATGCATGCCAATGAGAAGCTTTTTAGTTTCTTTCAAGGTTTTAAAAATCAGCGACTCGGACTCGTATTAGAACTGGCCGATTCGAATCGAGAATCATCGATACTAATGCGGTTTTTCTTAAATATCATAAACCGGCCAACTCCACCTATGAACCAATCGGTTCGAACCGATTTATTTGCCAGGGAATCGGATGGCTCACTTGAAAACTGGATAAACAATTTTTATTATAAAAGAATGCTGGTGGAGCCTACCCACTTTATTTATATATTCTACTCTTCTCAATTTTGTAATTTTTATTTTATAACCCAAATAATTTACTATGATTGAGGAGCCACCACATGTACCTGGCTCACGCTCCCCAGCCACCTTTTCGCTACGCCCATGTTTCCCTCACTCTCTTTTATTATATACCAGCGGAGGCATGTTTTTCGCACATGATTTTAATTGGCCATATATATTTATATAGATTAAATTTACCTTAAAATGATTTATGCACCGAAGTTAAAATATTAGCACAAGATATAAACTTGTAATTACTATGATCATCTGAATAAATTGCTTATAATATGCTCATATACTAAATTTAATCAGATGTGTGTGTAATTTTTTAATAGATATGGTGATTTACCATTACTTAAATTATAATATTCAAAGGCTACTGAAATTGGGTGAAATTTTGGTAGATATGATTGAAGTTTCAGCGTGTAGCGCATGAGGTGGTGTACCTTACAAAAGACGATGTAATTGTCGACTATTAATTTTTTAAGCCTTCAGAGGCCACGGTCATAACGAAAGTTCCAAATTTTTTTTATTAATTTTAAGAATTATATGTCAATTTTTTTAAGTAAATGTAATACTATATTAATTGAAATTTTGAAATATATATCTGTTTTTAACGAGCCTCTTTTTTAGTGTGTTAGGTGCTCTTCAAAGTAATTTTTAAATAAAATTTACAATGTATATCTAAATTATGAAAGAATTTATTTTTAACAGAAAAACTTAAGTGCTCTTCATAGTAATTTTTAAATAAAATTTACAATGTATATCTAAATTATAAAACAATTTATTTTTAAGAGAAAAACTTAAATATTACAAGGAGTTTTAATAAATCACATGTGCAGTACGTATCCACAGGAGTAGAAAATATGATAACTGGTTATATGAATAGACCAACAAAGTTATAGATAAACTTACCCAAAAAAAAACAAAGTTATGGATAACATAACATAATATAATATTAACCGATAAATTTAACATTTTAGATCAACGTATTTTAAAATTTTCACCTTTTTAAATTTTTTATTAATTGTTTTCATTTCATTACATTATATAATATAGTATAAGGTTATATTGTAATTTTTTACTTCTTTTTTGTTAATATAGTATAATATATATTATATATATTTAATATATGTAATATATAATATGTACTATATATTATAATTATAATATATAATATGTAATATATAATATATGTCATTTTTATTCGGATTAGTTTTTTCCTAATTTATCCATGTACACGTTAGGGCCTTGATTATAAAGTTTTGAGATATATAGTATTGAAATGCTACTGTAATTAAGTGAACTTTTGGTAGATACGTTTGAAATTTCAGTGTTTAGCACATTGTTGTGCTGTACCTTGCAAAATACAATCTAATGGTAGATCATATAACACGTACTATACTTCAAGAAGCTCCTCCTAAATCTGCTTGGTGCTTTTCATAGTAATTTTTAAATAAAATTTACAATGCATTCTAAATTACAAAAAAAACTTATTTTTAAGAGAAAAATTAAAATTTTATTATTCGCAAAGAGGTTTAATTTAATAAATCACATGTGCAATATGTACCCGCGGGAGTAGAAAATAAAAAAAAATACTCAAACATATTTTTAATTGATGAATACACAATGAGGTACCTCGCAACCATTATAACAAACTTTTCGTCCCCTTCTACTAATATAAAAATAAATGGTCCTTAAACAGTGAAATAGAGAGCAAGAGAGAGAACGAAGCCATCGAATAATTAATCAATGAAAATTATTATTTATTTGTCAAAAAAAAGGGACCATGGAATGATTTTACGAGAAAGAGAATCAAAATTTTTATAATATAATTTATTACATTATTATATATTATAATACATTATAATATATTTTTAATAGGTCCTTCATGTGAGCTCACGTGGGCGAAGCGGCAATTACGAGAAAGGTTTGGTTATCTAAGGAAAGGTTTTTTATGGTCTCATGAGCGTATATTGTGTACATGGTCTATCACGTGAAATGGAGGTTTGAGCATGAGCGAACAAAACCAGATCGATTTTTGAGAAATTCACATGTTGTAGTACGGGGAGAAAACAAGCTACTATTATAACTATATATCATATTTTGAAAAACGTAAGTATAGGTTGTTGGGGGTTCACCACGAAAAGAGCTCATGCCACTGGCCTTTATTAGAGCCCTCGAGTCAAAGTCTTCTTTCTAGGAAGCTATCCAAAATGCGTCTTCCTATTAATTTTTAATGTCGTTTTGTGTTTATTGGGAAAAAGAAAATGCAGCACTTGATCTTACCAAACTAATAGAAAATGGGGCGCTCGTTTGAAACTTTTGGTACAAGCTTATTCATCACTACTTGAGGGTTGAGGCAAGCTTATTCATCACTACTTGAGAGTTAAGGGAGAGAAAGCATCGAGTGCAGGGGAAAGATTTGGAAATGGCTTATGTAGTGACCAGCGTCTTGAAAACATTAAGCACACCTCTCGTACGGGAAGCAATTTTTATTGCACAGAATAGGGGAACAAGTCGACAGACTCAAGGCCGAACTATAACGGATGAACGCCTTCCTTGAAGACGTGGGGAGACAGTGATGAGAGAACAAAAAATTTGGTAGATCTTGCGTCTGAGTCTGAGGACATCATCGGAATGTTTGTTCTTCAAGCTATGCAGCAAAATAGAAGGGGACTTCTGGGTTCTTTGAGAAATTATGCCTGTTTGATTTGGCATTTGAGAGGTCGTCACGAGGTGGGTACGAGGATATCAGCAATAGGCTTGGCGATATCGGAAGGGCGATGTCTGTCTATGATGCGCGGCAGAGCAGCAAGTTGGGGGAAGCCACAAGTTCTAGAGCCCAAAGTTTGAGAAAAGCCTCACCTCTAGAAGTCGAACAGGATTTAGTGGGGATTGAGAAGAAAGTGAATTCTTTAAAGGAATTATTATTGGATGGAGAGGAACAACTCTCTGTGGTTTTCGTGGTTGGCATGGGCGGTGTTGGTAAGACAACTCTTGTAAAGAAACTCTATAATGGAGAAGATATAAGGCTACACTTCAATTATTTTGATTGGGTAAGTGTATCTCAGAATTACAGCATAATTGAGATACTTCGTGGCATGATCAGTAAGGCTGTAGGTTCACCTGAGGGCCTACAAATTATGAGTGAACAAAGGTTGAAGGAAGTTTTGTATACTCATTTGAGGACAAGGAGGTATTTAATAGTGTTGGATGATATATGGGATTTCCAAGCATGGGATTCTCTAAGAGAAGCTCTACCTGATGTGAACAATGACAATAGGGTTTTAATAACAACTCGAAATAGGGACCTGGCCAAGATGGTGGATAGAAGCACCATCCATTATCTTGAACCACTGCCAGAAAATGAGAGTTGGGAGTTGTTCTGCGAAAAGGTTTTTGTGAAAAACAATGAAAAATGTCCCCAATATTTGGCAGATATTAGCAATGGCATTGGGGATAGATGTGGAGGGTTACCCCTAGCACGACTGAGGATATATAAGGACAGCATCGGAATGGCAGAAAGTGCTTGACGGCTTCAGCTATTATCAAGATAGAGGTAAGATCAAAATCTCTGAGATACTAGCATTAAGTTATTTTGATTTACCCTACTACCTTAAACCATGTTTCTTAGTTTTATCTGGTTATCCGGAAGATTACAAGATCAGAAGGACGAGATTAATACAATTATGGGTGGGTGAAGGGTTTATTGAAAAGAGAGGAGATGAGATATTAGAAGATGTGGCAGAGGACTACCTTGAAGAATTGGTAAGTCTATAATACAGGTGGAAAGTATGAGCTCAAGTGGACACGTCAAATCTTGTGTTATGAATGACCTCTTACGTGATATGGGCTTAAGAATTGCCCAAGAGCAGAACTTCCTTGGGGTGGTTGCAAGTAAAGATATCAAGGACCCGATGTCTTGCCTCATATCGAGGAATTGATGGCCATGTTTCATTCCATAAATCTCCTTCTAAAATTCGCTCATTCCTTTTTTTCTCATGTTTAACATTGCCATCCGTTTCCAAACACTGTTTAGACAATGCTAAGCTAGTTCGGGTATTGTTACTTGAGGATATTAGTGTTGAATGCTGATTAAAAGAATTGGGAAGTTTGGTTCTTCTTAGCTTCTTGAGAAATCTTCAATACTTGCAAGTGCTTGACTTGAGGGTTGAAGATTATACTTATGGTAGGATTTATAAAGGCTTAAATTGGAGTTGGAGCCTAGAGTTGCCAAGTTTGAGAGACCTTTATGCAAATGATATGCTTAAATACTCGCAACCAATGCATTTAAAGGCAGGGAGTTCGAGATGCCTCCCAACGTTGTGGACACATGGTCTTGGCTTCTTACGAGAGCCATTGGGCAATTTCTCGAAACTCAAGAAAGTACGTATTTTCGATATGGTGGACGAAGACATTAGATCAATCTACGGGTCCATTAGGCAGCTAAAATGCCTGCGTTCTTTGTCTCTACATGCAAAGCGTGGAACAATGCAAAATTTGGAGGCAATTTCAAGCCCGCCATTGGCTCTTGAGAAATTGGGGTTGGATGGAAAGTTAGGGAAGGTACCAAGCTGGTTTGGGAGCCTTCCAAAACTCACCAAGTTGGATTTATATTATAGTGAATTGAATGAGGAGGGGTTCTTAAAGCTCCAAGAGTTGCGACACCTCAAATTTTTAAGATTATGCCGCAATGCATACGTTGGGAAGGAGATGCATTGCATTGGGGGAGGCTTTCCTCTACTCCAACACTTGGGACTTCATATTTATTTTAAAAGAGTTAATTGGAGGAAGGATCCATGCCATGGCTTCAATCTCTGGAGATTAAGGCTTGTGGCAAATTGAGGATGCTTCCACAGGGGTTAGAGCACATTTCTACCCTCCAAGGAGTGTATTGTTCTGGATTTGGTGAAGAAATTAGTGGGAGAGTGTTAGATGATGCACCTCATCTTTGGTGCAAAACCGTAAGCGACGATGATAATCAAAAGTGGAAACGTGCAGCCCTTTGATTCCTATTTTCTTGGTGTCTAGTATTCTAAGCATGTAAGTCATTTCTATGTGATGTTCTTCTATGACTTTTTGATTGCGGTGTCAGCTTTTTTATTATAATTTGGCATCATAACAAAGTTAGACTCATCCAATTTCTTAACTAGGCCTTCAATCATTTAAATTGGTAATTTATGTCCTCATCTTGTTTTTGCCATGGGAAAAGTCTCCATCGGAATCATTGGACGGTGGAAGGGTGTACAAGCACACTTCCAATGGTTCAGATACACAACAGATTTTTATTTTATTTTTTATTTTTTATTTGAAAATTATTTGTTTAAAATCAGGGTTATAGATATATTTTTAGATGGTTGAAAATAATAAAAGCATATTTGGGCCAAATGAGTTGGCCAAAAATATCAATCAATTGTTTTAGGAGGTTTTCTATAATTTTCTATTCAAAATATTTTGTATTATTTTCATTTGTTGCACCATTTAGAAAGGGGCAAAGTTTTTATAAGGTGGCCATTTTATAGTATACAAGTTAGGTGCACCTCCAAATTGAGCTGGAAGATCTAGTTCTAGTTAGATGCCTGGTGGCAACTTCCTCTTGTGGGGGGTTTGAAACTTAATTTTGATAGTTCCTTTTATGGAAACCCATTGAATGCATGAGTGGGGAGGATCTGTAGAGATTTTGAAAGTTCAATTTTTTTTTAGTATGCTGGGCCTATCGGCCAATCATGCTGAATTGATTGTTGTGTTGCAATATATTCTAATATGGAGGGTGAAAGGTTTGGGGGAGACTTTAATCATTGAAGGAGATTCACTTAATATCATCAATTGGTGCTAAAAAATCTCTAAGCCACTTTGACGTCTTAGATCCATTTGGCTGAGGTAATAGAATTAATATCCTCAATGGAATTAGCGTTCATCATGTTTATTAGGAGGCGAATGACATTGCATATGATTTGGCTAAGAAAGGGGTTCTTTCGGACTTTCTAGTTGTTTCTTCTATTCTTATTTTAATCTATATATTTTAATTTTTTACTATTGGATAAAAAGTAAATACTCTTTATCCAAAAAACAAAGATGTAGTTCTAATGTCAACAAACTTATGATGGTCTCAAAATCCTTGTCTAATCCTAGTTAGGAATATTACAATTCCAAAAATCATGCCGATTGAGCAATCTATAAACACTTCAAAATCTTAAAAATAGATATTCCGGATAACTTGTTTCGAGAACTAATTCTTTAACATGAAATTATTCTTTTTTTTAGTTTGTTTGTTTTATACTAAACATCTGCATGTCAAGGTAGTCAATAAGAAAGTTATCTAACCTTGGAACACTCTTTTCTACTGGATTTATGATGCAAATATAATATAAAACATCATTGAGAGCGACAGAGTTGGGAAGTTAATTGTGTGTGCGTGAGAGAGAGAGAGAGAAAGAGAGGGGAAGGACGGGAGTTGTTGATGTAAATATAAGATATAAGATCATTGAGAGTGAGAGGATTGGGAGGTTGATTCTAGTGTCTCAAGCTTCAAACATTCAATAAAATTTGAATTTAGAGCATGCAAAATATCAGATTCCAACCTAAAAAAAAAACCTAAGTTTGATTGTCATGTAAAAAGACAGAGAAAAAGAAATGTGAAACCAAATTTTGCATAAAACTCTAAACTCCACCAACTAAAAACCATCTGATTTCAGATTCAATCCTCAAAGAGATCCCTAACTCCCTTCGATACTCGATCCACAAGACCCTCGTCCATTCAATAAAGAAACAAACCAGATATAAATACACACAAACCTTCAATTTTAGGAGCTCTTTTTATGGCTTCTTCAGCACTGAATATGGGTTCTAGTTCTTTTTTATTCAAATCTGCTAAAAAAATCCAAGAAACTTGGTCTTTCAAAACAAATCTTGAAATATAGAAGAAACATAAATTAGGGTTTCGAATCAAGCTATTCTGATAATGATTTATTAGGTTTTCACCTTCCTCTGGATGGGACAGACATATGAGCAGGTGGGACATCTTAAACGGCCATTATCAAAGGCTAGTATCATACCACAGTCATGGCAAAACGCTTAAGCTCACTGCAAAAACTAAATTTTGAAATCCTAGAGGGATGCACCAGATTGAAGCCTTCTAAATTGCATATTAAGGTTTTCCTTTGCGATTTGGTACCTTTGCAAAGTTTTTGGTGTCCCAATGGTCTAACATTTGCTTAATGAAAAAAACTCAAGAAATTAGTAAGCAAGTAAATTTTTGAAAAGGGACATGGCAACAATGAAATTTGTCAAGTCAAAATTTATTGTAAAGAGGCTAAATAAACACATCAAGTTAACTAATTGTGCTTTGATTATTTTTCGATCACTTTGCACCAAAGGTAAATGAAATTTGTCAAGTAAAAATTTATTGTAAAGGGGCTAAATAAACAAGTCTAGCTAGTTAATTATGCTTTGATTATTTTTCACATTGTGGCCACTTTATACCAAAGGTAAATGGTCTCATTGTATATTTTTTCTTTTCTAATTTGGAATGGAATATTATAATTTTTTCAACGTAAATGTTTTTTTTACTAAACATCTAAATTGACACGTGCTCCACAAGCGCCCAAAGCAAGGAGTCATTGAGTTTAGTTTTTTTTTTTGGTAGATCAGTTGGGAAAAGATGCCCCTACTCATTTTTAGAAATAATTAGCGGTTTTCGAATGCGTCAGTGGGAATGGAAACTTAAATCAGTAAATGAGGCTCAAGTCACGCTACCACTACGACCTCAATGCCATTCTCGGTCCCTGAGTTTAGTTGTCAAGGGCAAGTTGAACTAAAAAATTCAAAAAAACTAAAAAAATTAACATAAAACAAAACAAGTCACACAAATCATAAAAATAAGATATACAAGGAGACGATAAAATTTTGATTTTGTTACGTTGGAAAAAACTATAATTTATTAGAATTTAAATTGAAAAATAAAAATTTCAAAGCTAATCATGCATAATCTTCTTGCTCGTGCTGATCCATGCCTCCAACATTGGTCGAGGTGATCTTAAATACCCCACAATGAAACCATAAGACAAATTTGGCGTTCAAGTTTGGATGTAGTTGACCAAGCTCTTGAAATTTTTGGTCAAACAACTTCTCTCGTTCAAAGTCTTGAAAATTCAAGATTTTGAGAGGTTTTTGTGAGAAATAAACCAATCATTTGATCATCATATGAGCCACATCCAAACTATGTGCGGTCTGCTATTTGAATTACATTCTGTCACTCTTCTATTTGAAGCATTTTTTTTTTTTTACTATAATGCCCATAAATCTTTTAAGGAAAATATAATAGTGGTGATTTTGATTATCACCAAACCTAATCATTTTACGATAATACCCTTAAACCTTACTTTTAAAAATTTTGATGATATTTTCAATTTTTTAATCTATTTTCATTTCGAATGATATTTAAATTTTTACTGTGTAGAAATTCTCCTTGTTTTGGAGGCCTGAAGCCAAAAGATGCAAGTCCTCTTATGGCATTGATTGCTTTCTTATTTCTCTTTTAATACATCAACAAATTGGAAATATGACCTCAAAGTTAATGATGTGTTAAATGATCTAACTACTAACTTTCTAAAAGACCTATTGTATTTGGATATTATTATAATGTGGCCATGCTCATGTTCTTGTTCTTGACGTAAATATTCTTGTTTTTTATGTTTTAGGTCTAAATTCTGATAATATTTTATGTTAAGAAATTATCATTGATTTGAAACAAAAAACTGGCACTGATTTTTATATCTTTTAATCGAGTTATTTAAATGAAGCTAAATTACTAAAATCTCATCATTTTCTTCCTAGTTCCATACCTAACAAAGAATTTTAATAGAAAAATATACTCTATGTTTATAGCCGCCAATAGGAAAGAATTATTTGAGTTATTTACAGGTGGATTCGGTAGGTGAATTATTGGTCACATCCTCACGTCACAAACCAAAAAGGGAGAATTACACATATATATGTTATAGTTTACGTTATTACAGTTACACCAAATAGTTTATGTTATTACATCCTTGTCCATTTTTTTCATTTCAAAACGGAATTTTTTAAAAAAGACGAATTTACCCTTTTTCGGGTGTTGAACAATCGAATTCAAAAAACTTTCGGTTGTTTAACAACCGAAAAAGGGATTAGCTCGTTTAAACTTCCCACTATAGTTTTATTGAAATATATCTAAATTCGGTTGTAGAACAACCGAATTTCAATTTTCAGATGTTCAACAACTGAAATTGTGCGGGGCTTGTTTAAAATTCCTGGATCTGTTTCTTTTGCTTTACTCTCTCTTTCCCCCCATTTCTCATTGACTCTTACCTTTCTGACAATCAAAACAACTTATTTAGATCTAGATACAAGTATTTTGACGGATCATAATAGCATTTGACGCATTTTGAGGGCAGTTGATGGATTTCTAATCTGTAGTGAAGGTAAGGTATCTATAATCTGATTTCTTGTTCGATTTTTTAGAAGTTAACATTGTATAAGA